CAAGTGTGTAGTTAGAGCTGGAGTTGATACAGTATCACATAAGCGTTAAATAAACTTGACTAAGTATTATAAGTACAGGAAATTTAGGGTGGGACCTGCTTGAAAAGAAGACAGCAGCAGAGAAAGTTGAGTAAGAGATACCCAACTGGGAGGGCGCTATTAATTTCTTAGCTTTCTGGGAGGAATTTTTAACATTTGCTTAGGTTGAAATACCACTTGCATGCTATGAAATTCTCAGCTGGAAATTGCTGAGAGATGATGTAGCTCTCAACTCACCCTCCCTCTTCTTCCTCCCAGTCTTTAGCGAGTGTGAGGAGAGAGTCGGTTAGTAGGCATGAGAAGTATTAATGTTCCTTCATAAAGCACAGGTACTACATGATCAGGAAGAGCATATAAACATGCATGTTCAGGAGTTTGGTGCAGTGAAGTACTACCAGGGTGATGATAGGCGTGGAGAATATTTATTTTGAGAGAAAACTGAGTGTAAGTTGTTTGGGCACCTGAGAGAGGATAGGATTTATCCTTTAGAAGTATAGAAGGGGACTAGGAGCATGATATTAAAATAGTGAGGCTGTGTTGTCACTAAAACTCAAGGTAGAATTAAAAAAGTTTCTAACCAGCACAGCAGGCTGTTTGTGCAGCAGCCTTCTGATTAGATTAGTACAAGTAACCATCCACTCCCCTCTTCTTGCCTTTTCAGGTAGAATATAGTAGGTAGGTAGGTTGGAAGGGTTCCTGTAGCAGTAGGAGAGTTCATTTGATGACCCAGACAGGTCCGATCATGTGCTTCATGGTATCTTGTGACACACAGGACTGGAGTGCTCAAGAAGATTATATGAGGAGTCCCATTTTCACGTATTACTGCTGTTGGTCTGCCTGTATCCTTTGGGTGGGAGAGGTACTAGGCAGGGAATTAGGAAGTCATTTATGTGATGGACAGGATCTGGCAATCAACAGTCTACCTTATTGCATCTCTGCATGAGAACATAGTGGACGATTGTTGGTGAGAACTTGCAAATCTAGGTGCACCTACTTGTTTTGATTTCATCCTGAGTGTAGTGCTGGTTTTGTTGCATAGACTGCATGAAAGGGAGACTCAAAATGGCCATTTAGTGTGTTCATTTTCAAATAGACTGGAACGAGCACTTGTAGAGAATCATTTTGGATATACTGTTCCCAACTGCAATGTGTGACAGAGTGCTATTGAGTTGTGTTCTTTTAAGTGGGAATGAATAGAAGGACACAAGCCTTTCAACATGCTGCCAATTCTGAACTGCACCATCTTGCTTTTCTTATTTTGACAATGAACCAGTTGAGCAATTTGATTGTTTTCTAGCTGCGAGTGGGGCACGAGTGGAAGTGAGGGCTATTATGTAGGCTGAGGAAGAACTTGAAGGATGTAGGGAAGTGAATGAAACAAAGATTATGGTGAACTGCAAAATCTTCTTTGGCTATCTTGATACCTCTCCCAAGTGAAGTTAGGTGATCACATTACAGTGATAACAGAGGCGGTTGTCAGAAATATCATTATAATACTATGTTCATGTAATGTGTTCCTAATTGAGTTGCAGATTAAAACCAACTGGAGGCTGTATTTGGTGAGGAGTGCAGCAGCTTGCTCAGTAAACGAGCATCTTGCTGTGTACGGCTGCCAGGGAGTGTCAGGCATTCATTCATACGGTCCCATGTGGCCCAAGACCTGCTTACCCAAGACATCTTTTTTCTCCTCCTGTGACTCATGGCCGTAGCTGTCGTCAGCAGAGGCACCTAAGCCTGAAATCTTTGTTGCAAAACAGGGCGTTGCTAAGAGACTATTTTCTTTGTTTAGGCACCAGGGCACTGGTATTTCTTTTCCTCCACTCCAGCTGGGTTCAGAATAGTCTGAATTGTATGACCTTGAACAGCCAGCAGCATGCATTCTTGACAAGCGTGAAGGAGGCTACAGTCTTAAAATTTCCTGATTTGTTGTTGGTGGTGTTTTTTCACCTTCTCCTATGATCGTTTTTTTTCTCCTGGCTCAAGCAAGTTATTGTTATTTGCTTATTTTATGTCTGATAGCTATCACAGTTAAACTCTTTGTATAATGATGGTGAGTGGTAATTGTAAATCCAGCTGTCAAGACTTTCCAGACCTCTTTGTATGTGTGCTCTTTTTTAAATAAATACATTTGCTGCAGAAGTGTAAGTGCTGTGCCATTCAAATTCCTCACGGAGCTCATCCTCATTATACTAGAAAGAGTTTATAGAAACTCAGAAAAATCAGAACTTCAAACAGAGTCAAGGTTTATTCTTTGCATTGCTAGTGCAATCCAAATTCTTTAAGAGTGTGTCTGTCAAACTTTTGTGTACTTTTGTAAAATGAGGCTGCCTCGTGTAGTTACTCTGCTTCTGCTTCACTCATTTTCAAGCTAGGACTGCAGGGCACAATTTTTTTTTTTAAACCCTTTTGTTAAAGCAAGAACACACACTTAAATTAAGAAACAACTTAGTTACAAAGCCGTCACTTATATTAAAAAAAAAAAAAAAAGATTTAACAGGCTATATAACTGAAATGGCATTGGGCATTATAAATAACTGTACATGTTCATAGACTAATTTTTCCATAGCAACTCTACATCACTTGAATTCCATGCTCAAGAAATTTTCTGTTCAGTAAGGATGTTATATACAACATGTTATATAGTCCAAGGGCTATAAGCAAGGAGTTAACTAAAACATATACTTTGGTTTTGACTCTGGGCTTTAGAGTACAGGAAAATAGTGCTCTTTGTACACAAGTGAGTTTGGATAGTGAATTGATGACATTAAGCTTGTATCACCTTAATCTGTTTCTATCATGGACTCCTTATGTGATATAGAGCCAGCTACTCTCTTGATTCCCTCCCCCCCTTAGGTGTTACTGTCTAATTTTTTTTTTGTTTCCTATTTTCTAAAGTTGGTGTGTGGGTTAATTATTACAGTCTCTTTAGTGCTTTGAACATAATATTTTAGTTAACATAGTAGTTGGAAATTAGAATTTCAAGCAGTGAAGAGGGGAGATTGGGGGCAAGTTATTTCCAAACTACTAACATGTATCTAAGTTGTGTATGCCCAGTTCTTAAACAAGATGTTTTGTATGCAGTAAGCAGATGTATCTTCAGTTCCTGCAATAATATAGACTGGAAATGGAATGCTGAAAATGCAAGCATTTGAGAAGTTTGAAAGGATTTATTACTTTCTTTTTTTCTTTCAGATAGTGCTTATGTCTAACTTAAAAATTTCTTTATGCAGTGAGAATAAACCTCAAAGAAAATGGGCAGGATCTTGAAAGAGCTCTTAAGTTTTGAATAGATTTGGCAACTTTTAGTTATACTGAACAGATTTTTGGAACTTGAACTCCTTCCAGACTCCAAGCCTGAGGAACTTGGTCATATATAGGTCACTTGTGTGTAACAGTAGCCTCTCAGCCTTTAAAATGGTACCCTGAGGTGGAGAGGAGTGCACTGCTGCTCAGTCATGCTAATCTCACAAGTGCACTTGATCTTCCTGGTGGGGATGAGCTAAGGAGAAATAGTCTGTAGCCTAGATCTTCTGCTTCCGTACTGCAAGGTGAGAAAAGGAGGAGGTCTTGGGAGAACATCTCTTCCATGGGGACTTACTAGAAGAGCTGTATGTTTGGATGAGACCTGCTTTGGGGAAGGGGTGGGGGAAGGAGGAAGGGAACAGACTGTTTTATATTTGTCTGTTTATGGGGTTCTTGCACCTTTCTGTGTAACATCTGGTCCGGCACTGACGAAGCAAGAACTGGCAAGACTGAAAATGCCCAAGTCCAACTACTTGAGGTGCTCCTGTTGTTCAACCCTGAACAACATGACTGAGCAGAATATTACTCTAGTCTGATGCCCAGCTGTGTCCCAACTATGAGAATTAACTGCTCCTGCTCACTGAGCTGCTGCTTTTGCTAGATCATGAGGTGAAAGGAGGAGACGCATGGAGGTTTTATGGTTGCAGGTACAAAAGATGAGACTATTAAGGCCATAAGTGGACAAACATTCTTACTAGTTCCTTAAATGCAATTTTCTTTTGTTTTTGAGTTAATTACCTTTTTTGATGCTCAGTTCTATTTCCTCCTTCCCCAGCAGAACCAGAGGTGGTCAAAAATACTATCATACCTACCTGGAAAAGCAGTGATATTAAGGAATATAAAGAATTAGTTTCTGCTTTTATGACTCTGGTTATGAGCAAGTGAATAATTACTGTTACTTGCAGAGTATGTGTGTGAATGTTTATTTCCTGCTTAAGACTTCCTGTATAGGAATTACTGGTGCCCAGGTTGAAAGAAAATACTGATGATCTTGAAGAGCAACTAATAACTCTGTAAGATAGATGACTGGATTTCAGATATCCTCATCTGAAGAAGAGAATGAATTGCCAATATATAAGAAACTAATAAGTGAACATCAGGGTTGGTATTTATGGCTATTAGGAGGAGAATCACAAAGAATTCTACCTGACTAGAACTGCGAAATCACATCCTGTTAGATGTCTGATAGTAAGTGTAAAGTTTATTCATTCTGTCCGTATCCAGCAATTGCAGCCTGCCAAAGCGAAGAGCTTTATTTGGGATTCTGCAGACAAAAGGATAGCAAAAAATGTCTAAAAAAAGTATGACAGCACTCTGAAGATAGTGGGCATGATGCTGCTTGTTGTTAACGTTTTAGCACCAGAACGTGGTTTGAGGTAATGCTTTGCAGATATTTGAAGACTTCAGGAATATTGAAAGGGAATCAAGGAGGAGAAAGGTCCAATATCTGTTTTGTTGTGGTTCTGCTCAAGGACAGTGAGTGGAAGATTTTTGAGGTGAGATTGCCAGGTAAGTGATTCAGCAAATTTGGACTGGCTATAATGTTTCCCCGCTGCCATTTGTTACGGTTTGTGTTGGCATTTTGTTTGGGTAGTCTGTGTCTAAAAATCAAACCCCAATTCTATTCTTACAAAATGGACTCTACAGGGTGGGATTCATCCAACTAACTTGAGCAATTAAAAGTCTTAGGACTCAGTCCAAGCCTGTCAGTAAGAACCTTCAGGAGACAATTAATCTGATCCTAAAATACAGAATGTATTTAGGAATCTGCTCGTAAAATATAGATGAACTGCTCTTAAAAGTGCCTCTCTCTCACTGTTGAATGCAGAGCACCTCATTTGTCTGGTTTAAATGTGACACCTAACTTTTAAAAAAAACAAAGGCAAGCATGGGTTGCATACCTAAGGTCTGGGACCTCTGCAGTTCACGCAATGCTAGCTGACTCAGACGTGGATTTTGGAGTGTCCTGTACAGGGATGATTTTGCTTCCTCCCCTTCTGAAAACGTTTGGAAACAGAGAGAACGTCAACCCAGTGAAATGGAACGTGGAGCAGAACTGGCCAAACTAGCAGAGATCTGAGCAAAGGTATCTATCTCTGTGGCATCTCTACACTTCATTCTGTGGCTTACACCTGCTTGGGTAGTCACAAAGGCTGTGCTTAGCTGAGAACTAATGCCCTCAGCAGAGTGCAGAGTGCTTGTTATGATGGATACTTAACATAATTCCTGGGATCCCAGCAAAGCTGCAGATGCATTTGAACCCTACATGAATTTATGAAGCATATCTGAACCTTTGTTATGGAAGTCCAATAGTTTGCAAATGATGGTACTGTGCACATTGACCTTACTGTGCTGTAAGCCATGCCTTACTGTGCTTTCATATAAACTACATCTTCAGTAGGATCTCAGCTAAGTTGTATGGGGAGGATGTAATTGTGTGTGATGGGTCATGAGATGAGGAGCACCTGCACAAAGCTACCTGATGGAGGTGTGCTTGACTGCGAAGTCATGGGTGGTACACCTCAAAATTTTCTAGGAAGCAGGGGTTATGCATGAGCTGCCACTGATGAGTGCTTCTTTTGGCAGTTTCCCACTGAGGTCCCTCATCTGCATGTTGCATGAGCATGAGGTTCTGAGGACAAGAAGCACTTTTTCTTTTTGTGTGCTGTGGCTAAGATCCTTGGCACTAGTTGGGAACAGTTAGAAATACATGTGTGGTTCAGAGGAAGCTGCAGGATTCATATTTTTTACAGGTACTTAATGTAGCAATTGCATCAAGAAGAAGAAAATGAAGAACAAAGAAACGGAATCACCTAAGGTCTTGTTTATGCAAACTTCCATCACAAGATGTTCTTAGGTCAGTTTATTTAATTCTTCAGTTGTTTTCAGAAAAGGAGAAAAAAATACTACTTCTTGTTAGAGCTTGGAAGCACATGATTGAGTAGGCCTGTTTTTCCCTAAGCAGTAGGGACTAAAATGATGCGTTCAAAGTTTGTAGAAAAATTGTTACCACATCAGACAAAATTAGAAACTCCTTAAGCAAATATGAGCAGTGACTCAAAAGAGGGGAAGGGGCAAAGAAACAGCTCCCACCCCAAATTCACTAGGGAGGGATTTGCTCCTAACAAAAGCATTTAGTATAGGTTATGTGCTGCTAATTAAAAAAATAGTTTTTTTTATTAAAGCATCAATCTAGCTTATAACTGCTGGGAAATCTCATTTTGCAGAGAATTTTAGTGTTCTAGATTTAAATTTTTCAAAAATTATTCTAGAAAACTTTTGTTGGGATAACTTTAAAATTTATGATAAAATTTTAAATTCCAAGACAGATTTTTTTAGGCTGTTTTTTCACTTCTATTTGACACTACTTTGCCACATGGCACAATGTTGAGTTATTCTGCTTTTTTTCTTCTGTTTCAGTAAAACACAAACATATATCAAAAGAAGAAAAGGTAGCAGCGCTCTCTGCTGACTATATAGACCATTTCAACTGTCCTCATGCTACAGTAGTACTATGATCATTTCATTTATAAATCTTTAAAAGATGTAAAAATAATATAAAAATATAACTCCTTGATCAAAACTCATAACTTTTTTATAAGTTCAGATAAGTAAAAATAATTCATGCTCTGGAAAACAACTTGAGAACGGAAAGGAGCCCATTCTTTAAGATAGAGGCAACTTAATCATGGACAGTAGGAGTGAACTGTTGTTGTCTCCTGTGTAGAGGTTGCACTTAAGCTGAAGGACCAGTTTGGAAATTCATTTCAGGTCATGTTCACTGTGAATCACAGCATCAAATTGACCAAAATATGGGTGAAGTTTCATCCCCTCATCAAAGCTCATATGGCCCAAAAGACTTTTTACCAAAGTTTAGGGAGGTACCTTGGTGCCAAGGGCTGCATGTTTAATAGCCACGAAGAAGATAAGTATCTTTCACAAGGATTTTAGTTTACAGAAATAACTTTCTGTGATTTTTCTCAGTGAAAACAGTATTTGGAGAGCAGCCACGTTCCTTTCCTTAGTTGTTCCAATTTTATTAAGATATTATACACACAAACCATAGTTAGAGGAACATGTATATTGTGATGTCAGCTGAGCTATTATATTTTTAGGGGAAAAAACATTTTCAGAAGGGAATTTAGATTTGTGGCTCAAGTTCTTTCTGTGCACTAGCATTTAATGTTCTGTTTAATATGTGCACCTATCCCTGCTTATTACTGTCTTAAATTGTAGTGAGATAAAACAGAAAAGTTTATGCATTCATCATTAGAATGGAGAGAGACACCTTTTTGTCTCTTACAGGTAGCTTGGAAAACAGTCTAAGTATTTAAAATGAAGGTGCAGTGTATCGTTCAGTAGGATGTCATCGTATATGACTTTTTTTTCAACTTGCTAAGTAAAGTTCTTTGAATTGCCTAACATGGAACATGTTACTTTGACTTCCTCCAGGCCCGGTAGTTCTGAATATAGTCAGGCAGGAAGGAATAAAACTGCTTTTGATGATGCTCAGTGATTTATTTTTTTTTTTTTTCCAGATGTCTTCCAGAAATTACTTCCAGAAATCTCTTGTCTGTCAAACACTGATAAATTCTCATTGCTCTGTATGTATACAGCCATGCTGACATTTTGGGGTTAGATGGATGCCTACCCGCTCTCAGTTTTGGCAAATCAAGTCTGTTGTTCCCCACTGAGCAGCAAACACGAATTGATATAAGTGTTCTCCTTGGCAGTAGGTCACTGAAAATACAAGTGGAGTTGGGATGGTACCTTCCCAAGGATATTAGGTGAGACAGTGAATAATGGTGCTAGCAGCTTAGCTCAGGAATTCAATAAATCTGCTTCCTTAATTTTATCACTTTTTTTTTCTCTGTTAGAATGTATTAAGTTGCCTCTCTTATGCCTGTTCATGGTGCTCTAGAAGATGGAACTGTCCCTGCAGACTTTTGACACTTGTAAAGATGCCTTCATTTTCTACAAGATCACAAACAGACTTGCAGAAGCAGTTGAGTGATTTTTCCTTGTTTTATCCTTTTAGATAATAGAACAACATATCCTTGCTGATGACTGAATAAAAAATGTTGTCAAAAGTAGATAAATCATAATAAGTACAATTTCTTCCCCCTCTATCCCCGCCCAGGAGGCATATTCCAGTGCACTGGAATGTAGAATGTAGTAGTGTAGTGCACTATGTAGAATTCTGTTTGCTTCATTAGTTCTAGGTTTATTCTTGAGATACTGTATTCAAATTTCTCATTATTCGTTGTTTTTTTAGTTGCAGTGAGCTTGAGGATCCACTGTTTTAAGTCTTTACCAATAGCACTGTAATCTGTGCAGGCAGGAGAGAAGATCTGGCAGAACTCTAAGGGATTGTGTGGAGAGACTCATCATGCATCCCAACTTACATAAGAAACCTGTGCAGCGGCCATTAAGTTCCCATCTTTTATTTCAGCATTAAGACTCTCTCCATATTGTAGTGTCCAAAGTTCATTATTGAGAGGGAACAGATATGAAAAGCAGGATGCATCTCGGCTATCTTCTGGTGCTTATATGCATGCTACTTGTCTAGACTCCTCTTACGTAGTCAATGGAGAGAAATGGACAATTCCAGGTGCCAGTTACCCCACCATAGAGTAGGTATCTAAACAGGCCTGATAAATTACCCAGTTAATTAACCAGCTTTAAAATACTATCTTGAAACAAGATGATTGGTGCTTCAAAAGTGTCAATTTCTCTGTTTATAATTGGTGAAATCTAGATAATTAGCTTAGTTACAGACTTCAGCGTAAGACTCAGCAGCGCACACTTAGATATCTACTGTAGACTGCAGTGCTGAAAGCTACTTGGAGTCTGCCTTACCTCTACCAGTGTAGCTAAGCGTGGACTTTTGTATGCCCTAACTTCCCTAAGTATAGATGAATTGCTTTTGTTAAATTTGTAAAACCAGCACCTGTAATGGACAGTGTTGGTAAATGTTGATATTTGTGATGCATCCAGTTGATCATATATGATCAGAAGGGAGGTATGACCTAGGAAGATGCAGAGTTTTTTTAATGTAAAATATTTTTAAACAACTTAAAAACTGCCCATACTGCAAAGGAGTTATCCAACTCCTTTTTGTTGTCCAACTCTGTATTTGTAAATATAGAAGAGGGCATAAAAACTGACAAACCTGGGAGAAAGGGGGAAGAAAGGCTGAAGTTAACAACAAAAAATTAATTCTGATTCTTTGAATGCTTTTTGAAATTAATAAGAAGAAAAATACTAGTTTGCATGCAAAACTTGACTTATGGAATTTAATAACTTTTGCTCTTCATTTGTTGTAAATAAGGTGCAATTTATATTCCTTCTAAATTAGCAAATACTTAAAAAGCCCTCAAGCATTACATTGACTCTAGCATAAAACTTTTATGTATAGGAATAAGAAAAAGAGTCTTTGGGGCACTATTTTCTACGTGTGCAATTGCAGAATGCTTTTGACATAATCTGTAAGAGAAAAAAGCCAGTAGTATACCCTCAAACAAGCATTCTTCCTTCTCTGTTGATAATGCAAACTTATTTGTATATATTGCAAAGAATACATACTGTGCATATCCTCAGATCTTCCTCAACTCATTAGTTACGCTCTCAGGTTCTGATCCAACTTCACTGGAATAATGGAAGCCTTACTGATTTTTTTTTTTTTTTTTCTCTCCCCCCCCTCCCCCGTGAATTGGGTCAAGAGCGTCTCTTTTTGGAGAAAGCAAATGATATTAGTGGGAATTTAAGCTATTTCCAGGTGTCTTATGCTGTGGTATGCTGGAGGAGGGGCAGAAAGGATATGAGGTATCATTTTGAGAGAGCAATGAATTCAGCTACATGAATCATTTGTGTAAAAGGCCTTTGTGGAGAAGGCTGTGTTTGGAAGCCTATATTTTAAGGCTATAATTGGAACAGAAGGTTAAACTTAGGGACAGATCCTTAGCTGGAAAATCAACACAGTTGCAATTAGACCTGGTAGATTATTTTCACTCTGTTAAAACAACCTGTAAGCATCCATGTACAGCAGGTCTTTCCATCCCTCCAGTTAGTTAAAATGATTCTCACTATTCGTACTGACCGTCATGGAGAGAAAGAGGAACGCTTCAACCAACTGTCCTCCTATTTTTATGTAACGACTGGAAAATCTTGTTGTGTCCAAATTTTAATTTTGAGCTATAGACAAAAATATACTTGAAATCTTAATTTTTAGATGACATCCCACTATAAAGAAAAAAAGCAATGGCTGAAAAAAAAAATCTCTATATTTAAAAAAAAAAAAAAAAACACCCTTACAAAGTGCAGTCTGGGCAGTAGACAAGGGCTGCTGGCATAAGGTGTCAGATTTTTGTCCCATCTCTACTATTTAATCTCATGCAGTTCAAATTTTCCAATATCTGCTGATTTCTCTGACCTTGGACAGAGCTATACTTAAAAACTAGTGGCATAAAACCTTCAAATCCCAGTTGCTTCAGACAGGGCAACAAGTTTGCAGATATATCCTCAGTATGCAACAAGCAGTTGGCTCTGTTTCCCTCTTTGGAACAACCGAACGGTAGAGCCGTGCTATGCATGTGCTCTTTGGAGCATCTGAGGATTTTTCTGCTTTTTGTGCCAAGTAAGGCTTTTATCTTGCAGAGCACCCATATGTGACATTCAGAATGTCAGTGTTGTAGCACCAAGATCCCTTTCTTGGGATTGAGAACGCAGTGACCTACACCTGACAGATGTTAAAATGAACTCCTGTCTGTTCGATCAAGGTTTCTTCAATCATTTCAATCACGTTATCTTTGGGCTGCAGAAGTGAGGTCTCTACAGAAGGAAACTTGTCTGTGTTACTTACTGGATCTTGCTGCAAAAAGAAAAAATGTGATTTTAATTTCTTCAGTGAGCCCATCCCTTGTTTCTGAGTATAATCCTAATATCTTCTCTGTTCCACTGCTCTCCCAGACAAGCTATACATACTTTTGGAGGTTTTGGGGCAAAGTCTTTCTCACAGACATGTGCTATGATGCCAGCAGCCAGTGCATCGCCAAGGACGTTGGTCATGGTTCGAAATCGGTCCCTAGAAGAAAGAGAGCCATGAGATAGAGATGGCTGTGATCTTTTATGGCTTTAGAACAGGTGAACCTTTGTCCCTAATGTCTCTATCGCTGTTTTTGCTAACAGCAAGCTAAGTACAGTAGTGCTCTCAGCCCTGTGCAAATACAGACAGAAGATGGAACAGGGTCTGCCTGAACCCAGTGCGTTAAGGCAATGCGTGCTCATCTTTTTAGTGCACAGAGGTGACTATGCCACTACTAAAGCTGGAGCATCTTGTATTTTGCTTCAATGTGTGGGTGAGCTGCCTTGGTGCATCACAAAACTCCCCAAGATGCCTTCTGGGGAGGAAGTCTTGCATTTATTCATCTACGTGCCAAGTGCCTCTTCACATCAGTAGAAAGTACCAGCAGCATTGTAGCAGGTAGTATTACTATGTACCTGTAGTACTCAATGATTTAACTCGCTTTGAGCTTTAGTCTTACAAGTTCATCTGAAAAATTTAACTTCCTTTTTTGTGAAAGAATGAGAAAAACAGCCATGATACTTGATGCTGTTTCCCACTCTCTAGGATGGCTGGGAAGAACAACACAGCAACCCACGTGTCAGTTGTGCAACTATCAGTCAGTATTTACTTTGTATGTTTTCCTCATCAAGCTGATTTGCTTCACTTTTATCATAGTACTTTAAAATGGTACATTTCACAAACAGCGTATGTTTGGACTTTTATTCTGGTTGTCCATGACAAATGTAATCAACTATCATTTTTTGTCTCAAGATCAATCTGGTCTTCAACCATCAAGACAGGTATCTCCTTAGAATATAAATTTCCTCAGTGTAGGTTGTAGTGCTTTGAAAGTGTCATCCATACTTTTAGAAAAGCTAATGATATTTTAGTTCTGGTGGCATGTGTCCTTGAGATAGAAGTTGTCTATCCATGCAGGTTTTTTGCTACATCTGTTCAAACACTGGTTGTCTGATTTTCTGCTGTGATTTGGTGTAGCAACCAATTCATACTTCAGTTAGTCACTAATCTGATATGACACTAATCCGTAAGCTTTTCATTTTTTTAATCTCTCCCTCCTCTTTTATCCCTTTCCTAGTTAGGAGACAAGAATGGTACTTTCTAATCATGAAAATTCCCACATCACAGTAACAGGAACAGCGAAGTAGGTGAGCATATATTTTGAGTATTTGTCAGTGTTTAGCTTTGATTTATATTTTATATGGACTTATCTGATTGACTTTTTTATTCTGGAGATCTTGTTTTTGTCCTAAACAAGTTTCTTTCCACCCCTTTTTTCTCTCTTTGTTGTTGACATCCTCGTGGCTAGCTTTCATTTCTCCTTGTAGGAAGCCAGAGACCTTTCACGCTATTCGCATCTTGTTCATCTTGCAGAGAAAATATTCCACCAAAGCAAATACTTTACCTTCTAATGCTTACCTGTCCAGCAAATCATTCTCGGAGTCATGCTATCCACCCTCCTTTGCTCACAAAATGGACAGCTTGGAGAAGACTGGAACTTGAGGCATTTCTAGGGAATACGGTAACTAGCAGCCTTACATGATAATGTTTCATAAAGACAAGAAAACGCTTCTGCTTTCCTCCTTCCTTCCTATTTCTCACTAGGGGGGAAAGTGGCATCCTTTTGATCTCCTAAAAGTATATGTATACGTTTCAGAAAAAGTGAATTCTTTTGTCCTCTTTGAGACCTCCAACAAAGTTATAATATACAATCAGCTAGGAATTTGGATTAAAAAAAGCCACACAAGCTTGTTTTTTTTCAAATTGGGGACCTCACTTTGAGACAATACGTGAGTTCCATCACTGCTTATTCCAAATACAGTCCATAATGAGGCTCTAGACAGTGATGGACACTCCAGAATGGAAATGCCTCAGATCAGCAGCCATTTAGGAGACTATTGGCCTATAGTTATCCTAGGCTATTTCAAGGAAATGATAGCTAAATGAAGTCTTACGCTTGATCCTTGGCCTTCCTGCGTGTGACCCATTAGTCTCTGTTTATCTCCATTAGAACTGCTTCAGGAAATTGAAATACATAACCATTAATAGCTGGCACTTAGCACCCAACCTTAACATTGTATATGGCAAATACTTACAGAGCCCAGTCTACAGCAATGATGAGTGTAATATCATCAGTTGGCAGCCCAACAGAAGTTAGCACAATGACCATTGTAACAAGTCCTGACTGGGGGATCCCAGCTGCACCTATGCTGGCTGCTGTTGCTGTTATGCTGCAGAGATAAGATCACAGCATTATTGTCACAAAGTTTTTCAGGGGCTTTGTTTCCATGACAAAATAAGATTAATTAATACATTTCATTGTTTTAATCTAATATCCAACAATTACGTGAGCTAGGATGCTTTGCTGACCTGGACGGATTTCTCTAGAGTATAGTGATATCTCATTGCTCATTCATGCTTCTTAGGCTTTCTGACACTTGCTCAGCTGCCTCCGTCATCTGCAGACCTACCATTTGAGATCATGAGGGCCATCTAATCTGTTAAATAACTTAGTGCTCCCATCCTGATCTGCACTGTATATATGTGTGTATGTTTGCTCCCACCTCTCTCTTGGAATAGGCCATCAAGCTCTCTGAAAGGTGAAAGCAAAGTCCAATGTTGGGGATAGTTCACTCTTGGGAGCAATCCCTCATGGAAGAATAGGATCAGGTCTGGCTTTCTCCATCCTTCCCAGTCTTTGTGCTATCCTAACAGACCTTGTGCCCCTAAGTACCTGTGCACATCATGGCCTACAGCGTGCAAAAGGTACTCTTGGCTTTGTGCTTAGAAAACACCATTCTATTGGCTGTGCATGGGGCCTGGGGGAATTTTTTTCTCTTCTTGCATCATTTTTAACTCGTCAGGTCTGTGTCTGGTTTCATACTCACACCCACAAAACACTTGTACAGGCACTGTTCAGGGGACAGAGCAAAGGCAAAAACAAATGGTCAAAGGCAGATTTAGATGTCGATGTTACTGGGGAGGGGAGGGTGTCTGTGGAACTAAACTTACGGAATGAATGACCTGTTGAGTGTTTCAGGACAGAGACTGTAAAATGCATATCAGATAAATGAAAAAAAAAATGGAGGCGGGGTGGGAGGAAAGCAGCCATACAGACCAAGAGCAAAGACTCACATTTTGTTCTGTTTCACTGCAAACAGCCTGAGGGTAGATACTTGGTCAAAAATTCTCAAGGAAGGTTTTCCAACCTCAAGGAGGGTTTTCCAATTTTTGGAAGCAGAGTTAGAGATTTTCAATGTCCCATGGTAGGTAGCTCCCACCCAAAGTTACTAAATATTTGAAATATTTTTTATGTATTTTTATCTAGATAGGTGCTTTATTTCTATGCTCATAAAGTGAGGATATTCCATTCTTGAAGTGGAATAAGTTATTCCAGTATAAACACTACTAGGCTAATATAGTTCATCCATGCTGTGGATGTTGATCTCTTTAGCTATGCTGTTTTAGTTAGCAGTCTACTTTTTACCTACAGGCAAAGTCTTAGATTCTGCAGCACGTTCTGTAGGTGCAGAACCAAAGCTTTCCCTAGCATATGATATAAGAGAACTCATATTACACTGCCGCTTTCCCTATTATTCAGCTTGCCAGCAGAGTTAACTTTGAATGTGCCGTAGAAAGATCTCTGCTAAATGGGAAATTTGTGAGATGTTAAAATAATGTCTCTCAACGTGAATAGCGAAAAATAGTTTAGATACTGCAAATAATAAAAAAATTACCTTATAGTTATAATTTGTCCTAAATCCAAATCATATTCATTAACCTGAGCAATAAAGATAGCGGCAACTGCTTCATACAGCGCAGTGCCATCCATATTTATGGTTGCACCAACGGGAAGGACAAATCGTGCCACTCGTCTGTCTATTCCGTTGTTTTCCAGAAGACACTTCAGAGTGATGGGCAAGGTTGCTGAGCTGCAGGACAAGAAATGGTGAATATTTCTCTTCTGTATCTTTTGCGTTGAGCACTCTGCTAGCTGTAGTAATAGAAATCAACCTAACAGTATAGAAATACAGGTCCTCCTGAGGTTAAATGCAGCAGCAATGTTATACAAGTTGCTATAGCAAAGAAAGGAAGGATACATTTCTTCAACAGCTGGTACCTGGGGAACATATATAATTAGCCAAGAAAAGCTCTGTGTAATAAGCCTGCTTTTGTCTGTTATCCCTACAAGAAAAATTTCCAGAATGTTACTTCAGCAGTCAAAGAGATCACTCTGTATGGAGAACTTCATGTGACGGTTAAAATTTTGTTGTGTGTCCCTGTTCACCAAGCTAATCTGACGACGCCTTGAATGTTGGCATACGGCAGAATCTGCTAGCATTGGCAATGCTGGTGTTTCAGCCAGGCTCCTTTATTTCTGGTTTGTTTCCTGCATGCTACAAGTAGGCAGTAGCAGCTGCCTCAGTTCTTGTACCCCACTGACCTTTCTTTCTTGTTTCTTTCTAGTGAGAAGATACATGGGATGTAACACAGGAGTCAGGATAAGGAAATGGAGGGCAAAGGCAGAATGGAAGAAAGAAAAAGAGCGCAGAAAAGAAGCTGACAGGATTACGAGCACGTAAACTGTAAACTCTGAGACAGGGACCCTCTTTTCATTTTGTTGCATGCAGTGAACGATACAACAGCCCACAGTCCCTAAGTGGGGTCTGTCGGCAGACTGCGGGACTGTAACAAGGTGGACAGTTTTCCCACCATCCTTTACACTAGCAGCTCTTCAGCTTGCCTAGCTGGCTCTAAAGCAGTAGCTGTCCTATGGACAGCACATTGAAATAGAGAAACCTTCTACCATTATGGTGGTGGCACTGCAGAAATCCATACTGACCTCTGGGTTTTGCCAGGAGGCCCAGGAGCTCTGCACTTTGCAGAGCAGTTATTTTCTGAAAAGGTTGTTCCTAGAGAAACTCTGCAGCAAGCTGGGCCTGCTCTATGTTCTCTCCTGGAAGCAGAGAGGAAGAAAAAAGTCTCCAAGGCAAACAGGGAGCTGATGATTGTGGTTAATTGGCAGAGAAGAAGAAGCAGGGGTGGATCCATTTTTCGTGAAGGGCAGAAGGAGGACAGAAGAAATTGTGCTGTGTTCTTTCCTCCCTTTTCTGATAAATCTGACTTCATGCACTTGAAAAATGCAAAGGCGCCGTTTTACTGTGATACTTGCGTTTCTCTGCCAGGCCCTTCTGCTTTAGAGGTATGGAGATGGAGACCCAAATTTGGGAAAAGATGAAATAGTAATACTAGTAGAAGAGTCCTGCAGAGGTGTGTGGCGGGGGGGCAAACCTGTAGAGTTTTACTGGGATTATGTAGAGAAGCAGCATTACTTCAGAGAGGCCAGAAAGACCCTTTAGCTGGTCAAATGTTTTCTAAGAAAACTGTTTTAACTTATTTGCCTTTCAGAAAGGGTGATAGTTTCTAATGTAAAGTTTCTTCATTATTTTTAAGAATATTTTTCAATAAAAACTATATACAGAAAAAAAAGTCCAAAATTATCAAACATTATTAAAATGGTTGTGGTTAGAAAAAGGTAGATAAAACTTTTCCTTGAAGGAGCTTGGGATACAGTAGTTAGTTAAGAGTTTCAATAAGGTGTCCAGTAGATGTTCTGATGTTTTCAGTTAAAATTCAGGATCATAACAGCACACACTTTTTAAGTCACATATAAAAGTCCTATTTTGAATTCTTTGAAAGAAAACTAACTGCAATAATTGAAAACAAGCATGCATGCAAACATTGTTGCTTTGTTTTGTGAAAACACCAGGAGAGTGTGAGCTAGATGGATTTGAAGATGCAGGAGGGCTCTTCCCACTGGGGATGGGTGCCATGCAAAACATCCTATTTCCTACTAAGATCATTTGAAAGCAGTCTCACTTAAAATAGTGCTGGAGCTTTTTTTTTTTTTTAGGTCTAAAGTACATCTATTCTGCAGCTGGCCAGAAGGAGTTTGCATAAGCATTTTCTTTTGGTATTTAAACCTTTTTGAAAAACTAGAACTCATGTGTTGCTTAGCAGATATTTGTCTCTAACTGCTACACACAGCCAGGTCTCCCAGAGCTAAACCGGATTCATTCTCAAGTATATCAGTGTAGTTAGTAAACGGAGGCCAGTCTTTTCATACCTGGAAGATGTAGCTAAGGCAATCAGCAAGGCTTGCAATATCCCCCGGATGAAAGCAAAGGGATTTTTCTTGGTGATGAGTATGAAAAGCAAAGGTAAGAGAACAAGTCCATGGATGACTAGCCCTGACACTACTGTAATAGCATACAGTCCCAGCTTCTTTCCTATAACAGATGGATCTTCCATCTCCAAGATCTTCCCAGCAATGAGAAATACAATGCCAAAAGGGAAGTACCTGCAAAGAAGACAAATAAAAATTCATTTTAGAGGATGCAGCAATCTTTGGTGCAGTGTGATGCTGTCATGCTAAAATAAGTCCGTTGTTCAAAATAGGTATTATAAGCTTGCCTACCTTAAGTGTCTATAGTCAATAAAAATACACTATTCTGAAAGAATATAAGGTTGCAAACTTGAGCACTCTAGGAAATTCTAGTGTTAGGTTGATCTTTGCAAGTTTTACTCAGCCCTGTGCCTGTAAGCACTAGGATGAAGGCTTTGATTATGTGGTCCTATCTCTTTCTTTTTCCCCCCACAAAAACCTGTCGTTTTCAGGATGCTCGATAGATGACCAGCATGTGCTGGTTCACATGCCCACATGAAGGTTTTCTCTCCGCAGTTTATGAGCATCACCATGCATAGGCGACTCAGCTATGAATCATCGCATTTTGCTCATGTTATGTTGATTGCAGAAAGGGGAATATTTTATCCTCCGGAGTTGTAACATCTGACACTTCTTTTTTTGTAGGCATAGGACTGGCATTACCATTAATTAGCAGGTAAGACACTACTCAATTAGATCAATGAGGAACAGATTTACCAGACTGCCATTGAGACAATTTTCATAACTGCTTCATTCAGGCACTGGCATACGTTAACTAGTGGAGCTCCTCGCTCACCCATTTTTCCCAAGAGAAGTCCTGCAACCAAACACATTGATTTCTATTATTAAATAGTAGGAAATAACAGTGTGCAACATGCATCTTGCAAGCTCTCAGAAAATCAGACTAAATACAAATTTCCAGAAATGCCTTATGAATTGTGGCAATCAGCAGTGTGGAGGCAGCAGCCAGCCCCACTGTTATAACACTGTACAAAGACGGAGAAGAAGATAGTCCTCACCAGTGAGGAACTCATAAATGTGTTCATGTCATCTGTCATTAAATTGATTCTTTTTGAACCATACTTTCAGAATGAGACTAACTGACCTGCAAAACAACAGTTGAGCCTCAAAGAATGGTTTTACTAGCAGCACAGAGTTGTTGCTTGCTCGCTGCTTTATGCTTAAATATCAGTAGTTCTCAGCGCCTCAGACGCTATTCCCTGATGGTCTAGATAACTCTGTGTTTAAACAGCCCCTAGTCTGGCCTAAAGATTTTTGTGGATAAAAGCCAGTATAAGGGCAACACTCAAGTTCTGTGAATTGTATTAACTCCAGTGAAGACAACGCACAAACAAAACAGAACACAAAGAAGAGTAAAATTTAGGGGAGATCAAATTGATGCCAGTGGCCTTCTTTGCTCCAAGCCAGATAGAAGCATCCAGCCTTTACTCCAAAAAACCCAAGTCTAGGGCCTAGACTAGTCTTTGAACAGATAACTGATAAACTCCTCACTGCTGCTAAACACTGAAACAGTCACTTCTAGGGATGGCTAAGCTGTATTTTTGCTATACTTTGGTTATGTTAGAATAATCCAATTCTTGAAACAAAATTAACTTTTTAAAAAGCTCTGATCTCAACACCCACACTGGCAAGGAGATGGGGCAATAATCTCAGAAGAGAAAAGCAGCTTCCCTTTGCTCGTTCCGCTGGGCTGGAGGAGGGCACATGTTCTGCATCCAAGAGGTTTGTATGTTCCCTGCACATGAGACCACGTGAAGTCAGTGGTCTGCAGATGATGCTTGTCATTGGGACAAATGTTTAGCATAGGCAACTCTTTTAATCTTTAAGGAGCTTGAAGTGGGTCTGTCTCTGCCCAGCCCCACTTCAGCCATCTGCTCCAGGCCAGTCACTGTATCATAGCCTTTAAAACTGTCCAGCCTCCTCTGCCATTGATGGCAATCCCATGTGCTCCATCGGTATTCTCCCTTGCTTGTATCACTACGCTAAATCTTACCCCCTAAATCTTCTAATTAACTTTTGTTTCCTCACACACTAAGTTCAACTCCTTGCCCTCATCTCTTAATCTTCACGTAATCCTGCCACCACAATAATCTCATTTCCTCCTACTCTTTTCTCTCCTGATTCCTCCATTCCTCTCTTTCTCACTCAGCTTTGCACCTAGTGTCTTTTTATCTTGTGCTTTGAGTCATCTCCAAGTTCTTGCTTCCAGTAACTCTGTCCTTTAAGCCTGTTTCATCCTTGTACCTTTCACTTATTCTCTCCATCCAATCTCTGCTCCTTCTTCCTTCCTTAGATTGCTGCCCAGCACCTTGCCCATGTTGTTTTGCAAGTTGTTCAATGCAGGCAGCTTTTCTTATTTTCTTCATAAAGAGCTGTTATAAATTTCTTTAGATTTATGAGTGACATTCACTAAATTTGACATGGTTTTCAAATGCTACCTGCTCAGTGAGTTTGAACACTATGCCAGTGAGAAGGGTTTGGATTGTTTGTAACTAGCTGTTTCCCAGGTAGAGTCTGCACAAGTTACAGCTCACTTTAATACACTTCATAAAATGGCTCATCCAACTTGCATTAACATTTGTAAACCCTCAGGAAACATGCTCAGACTATGAAGGCTCATAGTGCAAATCTGGAGAGGATACAGCCTTCTCCATGCATAACGATCCATTGTAACACCTTTTTATGAGCTCTGTTAACTGCAGCACCAATTAAGGTGTTGTTATAAACTCTGTGCTGTGCCCGTTCCCAGAGGACACAAGCAATTAGAGCTGAAATGGCCAGTCCTTGTACCTCTCAGCATCCCTGGCTTGATTTACAGTCCAGTGGCCACACCAGTTACCGCTCTGGGTTGCACCCATCACTAAATATCCCTGCGAGTTTGGTTATGGAGTAACATGAAGACTGATTCTGTATTAAGCAAGTACCTATTGTTGCTGAGAAGATAACGATCCCCAAGACATTCATTTCATTGCTGGTCCCAGGCAGGGTTCTGTAGGTCATTTCAGGAGATGGTGTAATCTCAAGAAACATAGGCCGATGGATTTCTGGGTTTTCATCATCGGGTGCAAAGTAAATAAAACTGAGAGATTTCCCAGGGATCGTTGGAAGGCCTGGAGACTTCACCACTGGAACAACAACGGTTCGATACTGGAACAAGAAAAAAAAAGTGAGGTCAATGTCCTGCTGGCAATAGGCTCCATCCTGCTCTAAATTCATTGACAAAGCCATCACCTGCTCAAATGGTCCTGGAGGTTCAAAGCTTGCTTTTCAGGCAGTAGAGTGATGTAAGAAAGGCAAGAAATGGGCCAGGGAAACTGTGATTGTTCCCTGCAAATCGCAGCACAGCCATCTTAAAGGAAGACCGTGCATCTCCAGACACACGTGTGGCATCTGAAAGTGAGATCCCTGCAGGATCACCTGTGGGAGAGGTAGCCTCGAAGGCAGGGGTGAGTGAGTAGCTTCCCAGCTAGGAGGGACCAGCTTCAGCTTTGCATCTTAGTCTCTCTCCTCTCTTGTGGTTCTTATATTTCCCTTAGTTTTTTCCCCCTTTTCTGAATGTATAGGAAGAGATATCATGTGGTTTTGTATAGCAGCCTTTCCAAATGGAAGGCAGGCAGGTGTGTCCCTGTGGTGCGGTGTCACCCACAAGCAGCAATTCTAGCATGGCCAGCAACGACCTGATCTGCCCACCCTGTGCGCCCCAGCACCCTCAGGAAGAGGCACCCACCCTGGGGTGGGTGGAAACTAGCTGAGGCAGCAGACAGGGCTGGGAGGGACATGGAGGGAAGGAAAGGGGATCACGGTCAAGCTGTGGCCAGGTAAGGACCCCAGGCCAGGGACAGCAGCCCCATCTGGAGCTGAGTACTGTCCCAGCATCTCCAGAACTTTGAGCTGACCGAGGCTCTGGCGCCAGCTGAACTCACCTGCTGAAATGAAGCTTCTATGAGATTAGACGGAAACATGTTCCTGTAAGAGAGTAATTGCACAGAGGTTAAAGCACCTTGTGAGCCTGCAGGGAACCTGGGAAGTTCCTCTGGTGGGTGAGAGACCAAGAGGACCACTACTGCTGACACCTGCTTGATTTTCTCAGTGCAAGCCAGGGGGAAGCGAGACTGGTTGGTGAGCAAAGAACAGAGCTGTGGATCATGTATGTAAACTGGAATCACAGAAAGCCAGAGGCTGGGATGGATGTCTGGCATCTCCAGCCCCCTGTTCAAAGCAGAGCCACCTGCAAAGCTAGTACAGGTCGCTCAGAGCCTCGTCCAGTTGACCAAATGCCTCCATGAATGGAGATTCCCCTCCAGCCCCAGTGCTGCACCACTTTCACCAGTTAACACTAGTTTACTTTTAGTGCTTTAATCCAGCACTGGGCCAACTCCTGTTTGTTTTCACTTTGCAAAGTTCAAGGAGCTGCAGGGCTTGGCATATCACAGCCAGGACTTCATAGGAAGAACCTCCAAACTTTGCATTTCAGTGCGAGCAGGGCACTGAAAACTCTCCATTCACTGCCACTCTGCCCTGCATCGCTGCTGGCTCGAGGGAGAGCACCGGGAGCAGCTTTGCTGTCCTGGAGGACAGCAAGGCAGGTAATGGAGTGACTACAGGGACGTGCATGGC